AGCCACTGATAAAGAGCAAACCTTGACAGTATCATGAGAAAAATGATGCATTACATACAAGAGAACCAAGATTTAACTTTTAGTTTACTTCCAAGAAACTAGAGGTCAAAGGAGCAACATTTTTAAATTATGAAAAAAGTTGTAAAGGCCTTTTACTTCAGAATTTTTAATAAAATACTATTTATGAATGAAGACTAAATAAAGACATTTTCAATTTTCACATAAATGAATCTATCACCAATAGAACTGAACTGAGAGAAATCCTAAGGGAGTTCTTCATGCTGGAAGGAAATGAAACCAGATGTTTGAGCATCTTTCAAATGTTTATTAGCCTCTGAGTTTGCTTTTTTGTGAGTTGACAATTCATACTTACATTAATTTGTATGTTCCTAATTACTGATATGTTTGAGCAGTTTGTAAATGTTTATTGGCCAGTGAATTTGCTCTTTTATGAATTGATCATTCTTACCATTTACCCAGTTTTTTTGTTAAATTTCTGAGCAGTTTGAAGAGCTTCCCATATACCCTATAAATACAAACCCTGTATCTATAAGGCAGTAATTTGCCTTTAAACTTGATAGACTCTTTTGCCAAAAATGTTTAATCTTTCTTTGTGAAATATAGCTATTCTTTACTTTCTATGTGTCCTATTTTACAAAAAGAGGATTGTGAGCCCGTGAAATAGACATCCCATATATATATATAGGATGCTAAAATTTCTTTTACTGTTTCTATTTTTTTTCTTTTAAGGTTAATGACTCAAAATAAGCTTCTCTCTCATGAATGGTTGCTTATTAATCCATCTGTTTTTGTTTTATGTGTTTTTGTGAAGGACAGTACTTCTTGTGTTTTTTTGTGCCCTGGACTTTTTGAGAATCTGGTAAAAACTATGAGCCTTTTCCCCAACCGTGTAAATACCCAACAGTGGTAGCCTTTGCCTATTTTATCAGCGCTTTGGGAGCTTTAGATTGTAGTCATTGTAAAAGCCTCTTGATTCCATTTCAGAGAAATAATTCCCGCTTAAATATAACATACCATTCTTTTGTTTATCCACTAGAGTGATATCATAAGTGTTGACATTTGCACATTAATTAATTTGGTTCATTATTGCTCTGACACAGAGGCCTCAAGTAATTTCTGTACTTTAAAATACAGTGCTGGCTCTATATGTAGGACAGGCCTGGAGAAGATTGATTATGTCGGACACAGTTGTAGTTATTTATATCAACTACAGAGACCTGAACTACTATGTCACCTCCTAGAACTCATTGCCATTTAAGGGCCTTGGGCACAATAAATATTTAACCTGGTTGAATATTCAGAGTTTTCTCCCCTAGGAATGCTTTTCATCAACTCTTCCCTCCATCTTCACTGCTTTATTAAACTTATCTAATTCCCTTTCATCTCTTTAGACACTAATCTCTTAAGCTTTAAAAATTGTGTTCATTCTAAAATTAAATGAGCCTATAAGTCCTCTCTTTAATATAATACAATTTCAATTTTCTCTTAGCCAATAAATGGATATATATTCTCTTCTAGTAACAAAACTAGCTTTATATTTTTGGGTTTAAAGTATGTGTGGAACTAGAGAAAGAATGGGTGTTATTCACCTTACCTGTTCATTTATCCATAGTCGTATTGCTGTAAGCTGTGCTCTATTTTTACCAAGGCAGTGGATTTTCTCATTACTGTCTAAAAACACAGTCATTGAGTTCAGGAAAAGCTGGATTTGTATTCTTGAACCACTTACCATATTTGGCCATGTATAATGCATATGTTTTTGCCCAAATTTTTGAGGTAAATATAAGGATGCATATAAAACATGGGTATAATGATCACATACTGGGGGTATAATAATCCCATGTATAATTTGCAACAAAAATGAGGGTGTGCATTATAACAGGAGCACATTATACATGGCAAAATATAGTACTTGTTTGTGATTTCTCTGAGCACCTGATTTTCATTGTTGTGTGTTAAACAAAGTTAGATATGGGTAAGTGCAATGCATAAGTGTAATGCTCTAATGAAAAGGCATCTTTTTGGCAAAATATTTTTCTTTTGAAACTGAATTTTAATGATTAGTAACAGCCTTCATGTGAAATAGAGTAGCCTTTTTCAATTTGTATTCCCTTAGAGCTCTTTGCCCTGATGGAAATAGATCAGTAATTGCTTGTTGAAATTCCATTTCTCTTTGGTTTACATTGACATCATGTATCCATGGTTTTTCTTTTTCCTCTTTACCTTTATGATGGCTCATCTGTTGGATTCTTTCTGCTAATGCTCTGTACAAGAAGTTCCTCCTAACTGAATAGAACTTTCCATTGCCCTTACACCGTATGTTGATCATTTGCTGCACGTGGCTTTTGCTCTTACTATTCTTTTGTCTGCAATGGTTTTCTATACCCACCTAGGAATGTATCTCTTAGAGGTTTATCTCAGCCTTTCCAGTCTAACTAAGTCTCCTTTCAGAATGGTCAGAAATGAAGTGGGAAACTATGTGAAATTAATTTTTAAACAATAAAATGTTACATTTTTGATACTCAGTTTTTGATGCTCAAAATATTGATACTCAGTTATTTGCATACATAATCCATATAAAACTATCTCTATCATGCTCATTTTTAAGAGACTTTTAAAAAAGTTGTATTGGAGTATACTTAAATATAATAAAATATACATCTTTTTTATAAGGTTTGATGTAAGTACACCCATGAAACTATCCCCACAATCAAGATAACGCATAATTCTGTCATCCTCAAAAGTTTCTTTGTGCCCATTCGTAGGCCTGCCTTTCCACTTTCCCATTCCATGCCACCATTGATTCTGTTGTATATTAGTCACTTGCATGAATTCTATGTAAATGGAATCATACAGTTACATTCTCTCATTCTCTCTCTTTATTGTCTATTTTCTTTTATTCAGCATAATTATTTTGGATTCAAGTTTTTGCATGAACCCGTAATTTATTTCTTTTCATTGCTAAGTATTATTCTGTTGTATGGATATGCCACATGTTGTTTATTGAAGAATTTTTGAGATTTTTTCCCCTAGTTTTGGACTATTATAAATAAATATGAATATTTATATACAAATCTTTGTGTTGACACAGACTTTTATTTTTCTTGGAGAAACACTTAGAAGTGAGATGGCTGGAACATACGGAGAGTGTGCATCGTTTTCAAAAACTGCCAAACTCTATTCTGCACTTTGCATTTCCATGAACAGTAAATGAGGGTTTCAGTGGCTCATATTCTCATGAGTGCCTGGTATGGTTAGGCTTTTTAATTTAGAAATTTTAATAGATAGGTAGTGATAGCTCATTGTGGCTTTAAGTGGCATAGTTTTTAATACTGTTTTATGGATATGAGTTAAACATTTATCTTCAAATTTTTCATAAACCTCTGATTTTCAGAAGTCTCCATTCTGTGATAGCAACTCTCTCCTTTGAAAATAAAAGTATATTTAAAGTTTATGTCAGAGTTCGCTTGGCATGTTAAGTACACAATGTACTTGGTGACATTCATATAGAATTGTCTAATGGTAACAGTTAAAATTAGGCATAATGACAAATAAAGCAGCATCAGTCCCTTAAGTAGATAAACCTTATGTCCTTAGAAGTATTTAGAACCTGTTTATTTGGTTTATGCTTTCCTTATTTGTCAGTTCCAATTGTTTTAAAAAAGTAGAAGAATCATTTTTTTAAGATTTGGTTTTAACAACATTGTTTCTTTTTAGGGAGAACTTATTCATGATTATGAATTACAAAAAAGTTTGAACTAAAATTTTTTCTAAGGTTTTTTTGTAAGATCTCTAGCCATTAGATTTTTTTTTTGACAAAAAGAGCTATAACCAGAGATTTGAGACTTCATCACACAAAAAGCAGGAGAAAACTGTAGCCCAGTACTGTTTTATATCAAAGGAGGATTGACAACACTGTTTTTGTGCATCTGCTCTGCCCCCGTAGGAAGCCAGCTTTATCATCTGGATGTGTCCTGCGGCTGAAACTTCTTATAAATATAAGAATTTTCCTTTTTTTTTAAATGGCAAGCAGAATATGGTATACAGCTGTGGATTTGCTTATATATCATGTTTGCATTTTTTCTCTGGGCTTGTTTTATACAGTATATGGCAATATGTTGTCATACAAATTCCATGATTAATGCTTATTTATGAAATCTTATGTAAATATCTTAGAACTTGGTCAAACAATGTGCAAGTTAAACATCTTTTTCTCTGAATATTGGAATGGCAAATCCGAGAGGAATAGTAGGTTGGATGGTTTATGTTCTTTATCTGTAGAAAAGTTTCATATGTAACATTTTCCTTTTATTATTCTATGTTATACCATTCTTTTTCATTTTATTTTGCTAGGCAAGAAAATCACTTTCAGATATATTTTCTAGAGAAATAGAGAGAGTTTAAATGTGGGAATCATTAAGAAATAATGATGTTAATTATTTAATAAAACACTAAATGTTAGTGTTTTTTTTATAAGGTACGTTTGATTTCTAATTTTGATTCTGACCTCTGTTAAGAGGCATTTCTTTGTGTTTGCTTTATTCATATATTAAAAGAAAACTACTATCCCAGAATAACTTGTTATATTAGCATTACTGTAGTAGCATTATTTGCTAAAAATGCTGAATTGCTTATAAAATATCATTGTGAATGAGGCAAATTTCAAGTGTGAATATATTCATTGTATCTCTTTCAAATGCAAATGATGATAAAATGCTTAAAATTACAAATTTTATGTGAATTTTTTTCTCTGTGGCTCTTATCAGAATCATAGTGTGATGATAAAATGTTCATAATCGTATATAATAATATATATCATAGATTATAGATCATGACATAATATGATCAGTGATTTATTGGTTGAAAAAGATTTTTTTCATACATTCTTGTTTCCCTAGAGTTGTTTTGTTTTCTCACATTTAGTCAGTTGTGGCTAGAAGTTGAAAGACTTGTTTTTCCTTTTTTTCTCCTTTTGTCAGGTGCAGCTCTTGTATGAGCTAACTGACATCATGAACAAAGTGTGGCATAAAATTCAGAAGAGGGGCACCCTTGCTCCTTCTTCGCCCTACCCAGAGACCGTGGCAGGGCCCAGTCCGAGCTCTCCCGTCAGGAGCAGTGTGGGCACAGCTCCTCCAGACACCAGCACGTGCAGCCCGTCTGCTGACGTTGGAACCACAACGGAGGTGAGTGTTTCAAAAACTCCTGTTACCAAACAAAGGGTGATCTGTAGCACAGAATTTTGAGTCAGGATAGAGGATGAAGAGGACCTCAGCTCTGTGGAAGCTGCAGGTTCAGAAGGCCCATGTGGTAGCAGTGGCTGTGGATTTACTTTTCCTTCTAGGTCCAAGTATGTAATCAATTTCAGTAGGTAATGGGTAGTTCAGGGCGGTGGGGGTGCTCTGAAATAGTAAAAACAGAGACACAGGGAAGGTGTCTTTAGAAGTATAGAAACTTAGAGCCGAGTGAAAAAGGGGCTCATGCTTCCCCTCCCCGCCCACCTCTGCCTCTACCCCTCTTTTCAGCCTGGGTGTCACTGTTATCTTTAGCTTAGTGCTTTTCAGTTGGTAGACCCAAAGTCCTCTTCTTTCTTCTGATCACAAAAGCTTTTCTTTTTCATTTTAACATCTAAACTCAGCCAACATGCCAGTGTTCCTTTTTAGTAACAAATATTTTATAATGCCTTCTTTACTATCCTGAAATGAAAATAAAAAGTAAACTACATATACATATAATTTCAAATATATGTAATATTTATATAAAGTATACAGAAAATAATTTAAGGCACAATAATATATATTTCAATATATAAATACTCTGGCATAACTCCATTAAAAGACATAATGATGTAGTCAAGTACATATCATTACTGTGAGTGTAACTGTTCCAAATATACAGTTCTATATTAAATACCACAAGTGTTATTGTTGTTGGTGGTGTGATTTTTCTGAAATAGTGGCAAACTTTTGGTAAAGTTTCAAACAAAACAAAATTTAGTCTTCCTTTCATTTCAGTAGTTGCCTTTCTGGAACTCTTAGCATATAATAAAGTCTAGCCGAAATGCCCCCCAAAATGTGGTTAGATTTAAAACAGAATTCAATTTTATGCCCAAATTTTATAAACAGGATTTTTAGTTATGTGAGTATCTGTGAGATAGTCTTTAGGTTTCAATACTTTCCCATTTATCACAGGATCTCTTGATTACCTAATTCCTAATCCTGAAATGCCAATAGTGACACCCAATCACAAAAAAACCCTAATACATTTTTAAAACATGCCCCTAGAGGTGTGAACTTTTATCTCTGAGACACTACTATAAGTAGATGGAGAGAATTTTTCAGACTATAAGACGCACCTTCCCCCCTCCCCTTTCTTTTTTTCTTTTCCTTTCTTTCTCCTCCCCCCCCCCCCCCAATTTGGGAGGAAAAGAAGGGTGTGTCTTATAGCCCAAATGTAGCTTTGCATTTACATTGGTGAAATATTATGTTATTTATGTTGTTAAAAATTTTACCACATTTTTTCCTTCAAAAATTTTCCCCCTATTTTCCTCCTCTAAAACCTAGGTGCGTTTTATGGTCCAAAAAATACAGTATGTTTTTGTTTTGTATAAAGGCATAATTTCCTCTGGAAACAAAACTATTGGCAAACTACAGAATGTGGAAAAGGGTCAAGTAAAAGGGTGTTATTTATTTTTTCTTATAAATTATTAAATATAAACATGTTCAGTAAAAAGGACTTTTTTTAACTTGTTTTGAGTCTTGAACACATTTTGTAATAGAGCTGGTTGACCTCTGCACAACGTAAAGATCCCTGCTCATTCCAAATCTTAAACACAGTGACCTAAATTGTGGGATGCCTCCCCCTCCCATACTTGCCAAATGAGGCATAGGTGTAGAATCTAGAACTGTGCCTTTATGAAGTCAAGGGGGGGTGTATCCCTTCTAGGGTAAAAGCAGTAGATTCTTTTTTGGAGATTCCTAGTGTTGATAGAATACAAAAGCTCCCATAGTAAAGAAAACTATTTAACCTCATTGAATGCTGTGGTTTCCAAACTTGTTTAACCGCAGACCCTTTTGTCATAGCCCGCTCATGAGCATTGCATAGAATACACTTTGTGAAATACTTTGGTAGAGTAATCAAAGCTTGAGATGATAAATTGCTGGACAAGGATAGTAGAAGTGAAGTTGATAAGTGAAATTAAATCTCAGAGGCATTTCAACAGAGGAAAAATAAAAATCTATTAATTTTTAATAAAAAATTAAACAATTTTTTGCCAAGTACTATATTTTCTGGGATGTCAGCATGAGCATGACTACCTATTTTGGCAGTGTCTTTTGGAAAGAACCATTTAAAAAACATTGCAAGTCCAGAAAAGACAGGATTCATATGGAATGGTCACTCCTTTTGGTCATGTATCTAGGGACTGCCATTCACTTGGAAAAACAGTACGAATGGTCCTATCTAGAACTGTGCAGTGACCACCTCCTCAAAAGGATGTGGTGGCCCTGCTATGAGATGTAATAGAGACAAGCGTGCCCTGGAAATAGAGAGGAATGATTAACACATCCATTCTCTGGAGTGTGTAATGACCTTTGTAATTTTCATTCTTTTTGAGGTCCAACACAGTAGGTATGTTACTGTGATCCTTTGAATTTACACTTAAAAATATTTTTGTAATTTTTATGAATTTGCTTGAATATTTAAATGTGTTACTTGCTGAGTAGAGATAAAACCTTGTTCTCTCCCTGGAGAAGATAATGAATGGGGCCGGGGAGGATAGTAGGGAGAGTATATGCATAGGTTTTGTTTTAATCCATTCAAAAGCCTTGATGCCCATTTGGTCATGGTGTTCCTGGAAAGTTCTAGCATCCCTTTGCTCCTCTTGCTAACTATGTCTTAATAGTCTTTTGATTATGAGAAGACATTCTATGAGCAACACTATTATGTAAGTAATAGAACTATATAGTATATATTTTGTGGTTGGTTATAGCTGTGCTTTCCTATGGTTTTCATATTATTTGCTTACATAGAAAGTGGTATCTATATCTGGAGTAATCGGGAAAAGCTCTAAGTCATTGAAAGTTTCTTTCATGCCAGGCCTCTCCCAAGGGCCAAGAGAAATCATGTCTCATCATAGTTGTGACACATCCCGTGATATCTCAGCATGCTAATTAGGAAGTTCTGAGTTCTTCTTCTTTGATTAATTTGTTGTTGGTATTTTTATGATTGCCCCAGTAACAGAGTAGTGATGAATTTAAGTAAAATTGTTACATTTAAATTATTTTATATATCTCCCTCCATTATAACAAAATAGTGTTAAGATAGCATAGGGGTACCGTGGGATATCATTCATTTAGTGTGTTGGAGTCTCGTTATGCAGCCAGGGCTAAGAAGAAAATGAAGAGTTAAACTGAAATTATGCAATTCTTTGACCCCAGTAGGTTTTTGAGAACATATGAGTCACACAGGGCAGTGAGTACTCAACCACTCGGTGTTGTCCATCTCATTTTCTTTGTCTTTAAACTGCTGTTTTTCTGTTTCCTCTCCCCTGACCCACTCTCACTACCTCTCTGTATTATCTTTCTAGTTATGTCCTCAATCCCCTTTTTTATTCCAGTTTACTAAATCCTTTTTAGCTTTTTCTAATCCCCTCAGTGAGTGCTGTGAGCAGGAAATTGGAGTGAGAGTTGTTGGTGTTTTCATTCTTGTTCCTGTCCCACTTTGGTACCCTGTATAGAAAACATCTGTGCTTTAGTCTGGGGAAGCCTCAAGCAGATTGTCCCTTTTGCTGTAGAAGCATCTCCTTTTGGGTCCAAGCCTTCTGCAGAGGACACTTGATAACTCAGGCTCTAAGCCTGGTCTCCAGTGTCTGAATGCCATTGCTCAGCCCCCAGCCCTGACCCGAGCTGGAGACTTCCATTTGCCACCATGAACTCAGTTTCCACTCACTGCCCTGAGTCTGTGTTTCCTTTTCATTTCTGACTCTTCGAGATTTGCTCTGATTTCAAATTTGGCTATTGTATTAGTCAGAGAAAGATACTCCTTCTTAAATCCTGCAGTTTTAAGAGCATTTAATAAAAGGACAAAAGGTGTTGACTGGGAGGGGAAACCACAGGAGATGGTGTGATATCTGAATCTAGCAGCACTGGGATGTTGTTGCTACCAACAGTCTTTCAGCCAGGGAGGGAGAGATTATCAGAACAGAGAACAAAAATGCCATATTTTATTCTCCTCCCTCATTCCTATATCCTGCCACTGTTCCTCATTAGCTGAAACCAACCAGAAACCAGAGCACAAGAGTATTTATATGTATGGTTCATATGGGTTACCCTGTCAGGCACAGAGGGTATAAAACAGTGGAGAAAAGAAAAGACATACAGCACTTTCATGTGTTAAAACAAATTCTTATTATATTTTATCCAGGATTTCTTTGCTTTTGTAGTGGAACAGAAAAATGTTCATTTCAGCATAGCTGGCTGTGTTGCTTGGTTTCATTAAGTACTAACAACTGATCTTCTGAATCTTGATTTTTTTTTCTTACTCCGCCTTATACATATTATATTAGTTTCCCAACACCATTGATTAACTTTTCAGTGATTTATTTTTTTGGTAATATGTAAGTACATAAAATGTACTGTTTTAACGATTTTTAAAATTTTGCTATTTTTAAAAAATATTTTATTTATTTATTTATTAGAGAGGGGAAGGGAGGGAGAAAGAGAGACAGTAACATCAATGTGTGGTTGCTTCTCATGTGGCCCCCACTGGGGACCTGGCCTGTAAGCCAGGCATGTGCCCTGACTGGGAATCGAACCTGCGATGCTTTGGTTTGCAGCCTGCGCTCAATCCACTGAGGTATGCCAGCCAGGTGTTTTAACGATTTTTAAATGTACAATTTAGTGGCAGTAAAGTATGTTCACAGTGTTGTCTGGACATAAGCAGTGTTCATCTCCAGAACTTTTTCATCATTTCAAACTAAAACTCTGCACTCATTCTAATGATGACTCCCCGTCCTCCCACTTTCCCGTCCCTGTTCCTGATAAACTCTTGTACTTTCTGTCTCTATGAACTTGCCTATACTGGGTACCTCATGTAAGAGGAATCGTACAGCATTTGTCCTGTTGTGTATGGTTTATTTCACTTAGTGTGACATTTCTAAAGTTCACTCATGTAGTAGCATATGTCA